AATATAGTTGGATTTTGATTCTTCTCTTAGACTGGATCCATAGACTTCTCGTCAAGTTGTTCATTCTTCACTCCATTTGAATTTATTTCCTTATCCTTCCCGTAGTAAAACACTGATGTTGTTGGGTGTTCTGATTTTTTAAAGTTGGTTCTGATGTTTTTGTTCTTTTTGAGTTTGGTTCAGAGGCCAAGACTCTGTTCGGTGTCTCCTGTGTCTTGTCATTTTCGTTGCTTTTTTATCTCACAGCGGCTCTTCCTCTTTCCCCCACTGGTACTACTTGCCTTTAGATGTTCCATGATGTTACAGAATGTCTATAGAATGCTTTCCAAGAGGGTAGGCTTGCACAGCTGTGTAGAAACTTCCTAGTGGGGTCACAAGAAACTTTAAAAAAAATTTTTTTGTATAGACCAGGGTCTCACCATGTTGCTCAGGCTGGTCTTGAACTCCTGGCCTTGGCCTCCCAAAGTGCTGGGATTACAGACATGAGCCACTGCACCCAGCCAGGAAATTTATTTTCTATTGCTCGCCCACAGCCCCCACCACATCTCCTGTGTCTTCATGAGATCATATATTCTGTATGGTATCTGTAAAGTCATCTCTTATTCTGAGAAATGTCCATTTCTGCATCAATACTTTTCGCATGTATTCTAAATATATTTTGTCTTGTCTGTCTGGGATATAGGCTATTGTAGTTACTTGACCTGTGCCAAAATGTTAAATGTGTAAGTTCTTGTCCTTCATGTCTTCTTCTGGCTTTTTATTCACTAATAAGTCATCAAGGTCCTTACTGTCAACGTAAGAGATGCGCCCTCTCAATACTTTGACATGGCAGTATAGGGATTCCAAAGCAGGAATCTTCTTTTTTGGTACTGTGTTTTTGTTTTGGTTGGTAGTTCACTAAGGACTTATCCCATCATGCTATGAGGGACTCTTCTTGGAAACAGGGTTCCTTTCCAGACTCTTCTCAGCACGTAGCTCTCACTCATGCTTTTCTGTAAGATGGGGTGCTCTTACAGATGGTTGGGGTTTACAGGCTTAAAGTTATTCACCTCTTTTTATAAGACATTATTGCCTTATTTCTTTTTGAGAAAACAAATTCTAGAGCTGGAGGTAATCTGTTCCACAGCCCCCTGTATGGGCCAGTGTCTGGCACCGTCTTAGAGGGATGGGACAGCTGGGCAGCACCCAGGGATTTGGTCTGGGTCCCGTTGCTTGACGCACAGCCAATCACTGCAGGGAAGAAGGCGTCTTGAAACCATCTCCCTGACCGACTAAAATGGGACGGTTATGTAGCAGTGGAAAGGATATAGCTATGCTTGGGAAGGAATTCGGGAAGGGTAAGAAAGCAACCATGATGAAAGAGGATCCAGTGTCTCCCTGTCTGGAGGCAGTGATCTGGTGAATTTGAGAGAGGATTACCCTGTGGAGGGAGGCCACAGGACAGAGCCTTCTCTCTGGAGCCCTTTGGCATGCTTTGAATTTGAGCCATGTAAATCTATTACCTATTAAGCTGAGACGAGAGCTAGGTACACAAGAAGCCAAATCACTGAGGGACATGGGGGATGAGGCTTCTCATTTGTAACCTTTCAGTTTGGTGCCTTATCTGGCTGTTTGGGGGGCTAAACTGTGAGTCCAGACCCCATGCTCACCAGATGAGGGCTGAGGTTCCAGGGCTGAAGGGACAGAGGCAGTTTCCAAAACTGACAATCTCTGTCTCTTTTACATGGGTTTCAAACACAGAAATGAAATGGCTTGGCTTCACTCACCAGGAGGGGAAATGTGGGCAGTTGGTTGGTGGGTTGACATTGCACTCCACATTAGTCTTGGAAATCATGCAGGGAGGCCCGGGCCCAGAGGACTAAGACTTGGCTTTGCCACTGCTCAGCCTGGAAAGGGACTGAGATGGCAGAAGAGGGCTTTATAGAAATCCTGGAAATCTCCCAAGCTCCAGTGATCAGCTGATCTCTCACAGGTAACTGGAAAACCACTCTGATATGAGGGTTGGCCCTGTGTTAATCTACTGCATTAGAGGCAGTAGGGTTGTCCCATTGCCTGCCCTGTTAGCTCCTATAAGTGGTTAGAGCCAGCCCGTCAGTGTGGGGCTGGGGGGGAGCGGTTCACTGGGAACGCATTTCAGTTGCATCCCACCAGGGGCTGAATACAGCTCGGCTCGCTGGCTGCACACACCAGCCTCACTGGTGGTCTAGCACTTCCCGGCTCCATCTGGAGACTTCTAAGTCGATACTTGACCACACTTCCTCATTGTCTCTTTCCCTACCACCATATCCACTGCCATCAAGGCTGGCCGTGGGATAGGGGTCAGTGGGGGCAGGTGTGGGATGCAGCAGCTGTCCTCTCCAGCAGGCAGGCCGGTGGTAAGTCCCAGGGGACTTGGAAATGCTTTGGGCAGGGCGAGTGGATAGGTAGGCCCCTGACCCACATAGATACCTCTTCGTCCTTGGAGTCTAAGGAGCCACGAACTTGTGGATGCCCCCAGGGGGCCACAGAACCTCAGACACTCACCTGTTTTTGGAGGGCATATCTCCCACCAACCCTCCCGCCCTCACACAGCAGGTGCCCAACCTGCCCTGCCCAACTCCTCAGCCCTCAGAGACTCCAACTTGCTCATGTGAGGCCACGGGGCCCTTGTAGGGGGCATGGCATTGAGTGTACGGCCATGCCCTGGACCCTGGGGTCAGTGTCCTCATCTGTGAAATGAGGGAGTTGGACTAGATGCTCATGGGGCCCCATGCCCCTGCTGTCCCTATGGGCAGCACAGCTGAAGACTGTTGAGGTGGGATGGGGTTGGGGGACCAGCCAAGACTAGGTGGGGTGTGGGGCCCGAAGGGGAGGAAAAGGTTGTGGGGGGAACCCAAGGGCAAAGCTCAGCCTCAGGCCTTTGGAGGCTGGGGCTGGGGGAACCCAGGAGCTCAGGAAATGTGACAAAGACCAGGGCCGAGGAGGGTGCCTCTTACACCACAGGTACTCCCATCCAAGAAGGAAACCTCAAGCCTGAAGCATGGGCTCCACCGCCCACCAGGTGGGGGGTCTCTTCCTCACACCGTTTGACTGCCCCGGGACTGTAAAGTTTATTCTCTGTAGGTTTATTGCTGAGTTAAAAACGAGGAAACTGAGGGCCAGCACAGGAAAATTAGATGCCAATTTATTCAGCTCCCGGGCAAGGTTCCGTGGTCCCGGGGAGAGGGGCCAGTCACACTCGACTCCTCTCAGGAGTGGGGTTTTATAGGGAGTGAAGGCGTTTGGATTTGGAGAAACAGGATGTGGACGGGGTGAGCTGCTATTGGTAGGTAGGTGGGATTTCCAAGGCGGGCTAAGGGCTGAGTGCAGAGGGGATTTCCAAGGGTGGGGTTAGGTGCTGAGTGCAGAGGGGATTTCCAAGACGGAGCTAGATGATGGGCATATTCTAATAACGTAATTTTCAAGCGGGGAGGGAGATGGGTGTGTCCGAACTCCCAGCGAGACAGCCAGCCTTACATTCTGACCTTTTTGATGATATATAGGACGCCGCTTCTTTCTGGCTACTACCTCCTGAATAGGGGCGAAGTGGGGGGAAGGAGTCAGTTGACTGGTGCCTCAATTGGGAGTCGGATATAGGGATGAAGCATCATCTGGTTAATGGCCACCCTGGAAATTTCTCTTATGCGGGCCTGTAAAAACTGGGGGCTGGCTGGGCGCGGTGGCTCAAGCCTGTAATCCCAGCACTTTGGGAGGCCGAGGCGGGTGGATCACGAGGTCAAGAGATCGAGACCATCCTGGTCAACACGGTGAAACCCCGTCTCTACTAAAAATACAAAAAATTAGCTGGGCATGGTGGCACGTGCCTGTAACCCCAGCTACTCAGGAGGCTGAGGCAGGAGAATTGCCTGAACCCAGGAGGCGGAGGTTGCGGTGAGCCGAGATCGCGCCATTGCACTCCAGCCTGGGTAACAAGAGTGAAACTCCGTCTCAAAAAAA